CCACAGTGAAGAACATCTGGCAGCGGCACCTACCCGTCTTATCCCTGTATCTGGGCTGAAATTTCACCCAAATACAGCTGTAAGGACACTTCTCTCTGTTCGGTGAGGTGGAGTTTTTTTTTTGTGAAGTAGCCTACCTACCTCTTTAACAACCTGGGCTTTTAGCCTGCGTGGACTTTGGTAGCGTTCGAACCCGCTCGACCGTCGTTAAGCTCAAGCTACAGTCTTCCTCCGAATGCGACGTACGGTCATTATAGCTGAATTTGGTGTATCTTTCAGTCTAAATTCATCTCTAATGACCGTACATTGTATTCGGGGGAAGACTGTTGGCGCACGCAGACCAGACCGGAGAGAACCGCTGAGCACCAGCCACGGTAACCGTAGGGTATCCGCGCAAGTCATCGCATGCTCCCACTGAGACTTTTCGAAGCGAACCTGGCCACCATATCGGCCAAATACAGCATGCACGCGCGCCAGAGTCAGCTTACCCCTGCGGCTGCTGCAGCGCCAGCGGATGATCGCATGATTGCCGCAGGGGAGAGTTGTATCTAGTTGCGCAGGCCGCGTGCGTGACTTCAAGATTTTTCTGAGGAAAGCTTTGGTAGTCATCATCCCGGCCAGATGCAGCTTGCAGGATCCTACCGTCTTCACCTGAAAAGAGCGCCCCGTCGTTATAGCTGTACTTGGTGGAACATTCAGTCCAGATACAGGCATAATGACCGGGCGTTCTATTCGGTTGCAAACGGTAATCCGTAGCACGAGCGTCAAGGTCAGCTTAACCGTGCGATTGCTGCAGCGAGAAGTAGACGACCGCTTGGTAGGCGCAAGGGGAAGGGGAGGGGAAATGGGCGGGGGGGGGAAGGGTGGGGGCGGGGGGGTTGCATAGATCTGCGCAGGCTGTCGCACTGTTGGGACTTCTCAGAGCACCAGCTATGGTCGTCATCTCCAGCTACAGCGTGCAGAATCCTACCCTCTTTCCTCGAACATAACGCACCCTGAAAATGAACGTATACAAGGTATGTTTCCGGCTTGATACAGTCAACATGAGCGTGCGTTGTGTTCGGGGGAAGACAGGAGTGGAAGCGCGTGCGGCCAGGCGGACGACCGCGTGATGGGCGCAAGGCGGGGCCTTGCATCTCTGTGCATACGCTGCCGTACTGGTGGGACTTTCTGGGGTAACTACGGCGCAGTCACGT